AATTCGAGATAGTTTCTCTCTAAAACTCAAAATTCGAGATAGTTTATCTCTAAAACTCAAAATTCGAGATAGTTTATCTCTAAAACTCAAAATTCGAGATAGTTTATCTCTAAAACTCAAAATTCGAGATAATTTCTCTCTCTAAAAAACAAGATATTTCTCTCTAAAATTATTTTTGGCCATTTCTCTTTCTAAAATTTATAATAGTTTATCTCTAAAAGTTTAAGAATACTTTCTCTCTCTACAATTTTAAGAATACTTTCTCTCTCTAAACTTAAGATTTGATGTAGTTTCTCTCTCTAATTTTTTTTAAGATATTTTATATTTCTAAGACTTTTTAGGTATTTCCTAAAATTTGATATAGTTTCTCTCTCTAAAAATTAAAATATTTGATTGTTTATATCTCTAAAAATTTGCATATTGTTTTTATCTCTAAAAATTTGAATGTACTTTTTTTCTCTAACACGTGATAGTTTTTTTTTAAAACTTAAAATTTGAAATGGTTTCTCTCTCTAAAATTTTGAGATAGTTTCTCTCTAAAATTTGTTGGTACTTTCTCTTTAAAATTTTAAGATACTTTATCTCTCTAAAATTTTAAGATACTTTATCTCTCTAAAATTTTAACATACTTTCTCTCTCTAAAAGTTAAAATTTGAGATATTTTCTCTCTTTAAAATTTTGTGATAGTTCATCTCTCTGAAAAAAAAAAGTAGTACTTTCTCTCCCTAAAATTTTAACATACTTTTTCTCTTGAAAAGTTAAAATTTGAGATAGTTTTTCTCTCTAAAATTTATGAGACAATTTCTCTTTTTAAAAAATTTAGGTACTTTCTCTCTCTAAAATTTTCATGCCTACCAAATGCTCCCTATGTTTCGGGTCAAGGGAGCCATTGAGTGAAATCCGTGGGCCTTGGAAATGCACAAAAACACGTTTTGGTGTAGAAATGAAATCGTGAAAAAGTTGATGATTTTGATTTTCCTGATTTTAAGTATTCATTAAATAATCCAAACAATGGATTTTGACAATATCTAATGATCTTATAGGACCCTCTCCCACCCATGTGTGTAGGACCCCAAAGGATCACCATTAAAATTGACACAGATCTCTAAAAAAGTTATCACATGGGTGTAAGACTTGATTTTTCTATGGATCCGTATCAAATTTAATAATGATCATTTGAGGTCCTACACACATAAGTGGGAGAAGGTCCTATAGGTCATTTTTCATCCAAAATATTAAAAATCCATGCCTTAAAATTCATGTACCCAAACAGAACTTAAGAGCTCAGCTCCATCAATTTGGACTTGAATTTCAGTGAAAAAGTGTAGCATTTTCTATTTTTGCCTTTTGGGTTTCATTGGGTATTTTTGCCTTTTGGGTTTCATTGGGTTCTATGTTCAACTCTTCATGACTAGTGCGTTGCCTTTTTCAATGATATCCACTGCACAATTGAGAGTTTTGTAGCATATCTGGAGCAGTGAAGCAGTTTTTGGGTTTTCTTTTTACCGATTTTGATAGGTTGCTTTTGATGATATTCATGACTCATGTGGAGTATGCAAAGCATGATTTAAAAAATCTTGTGAAGGTATTTTTTCACTAGAGTACCATAGTGGACCTCTTGTTCATGTGAATCCTTGCGCACTTGATCTGAGCCTTTCATTTTCTTCAATCTGTTGAGGATGAGGAGTGTTTAAAAAATAGCCTCCACATAAGACAGATCGGTCATATATTATTAAAAAAATACAACAAGATCATTATCTTTGGTATAGGGAAGTCACAATTACTTACAACCATTCGATGTAAAATCTGATAGCTTGGGTGTGTCACAAAGTTTGAAAATAATTTTTTTATTTGAACTTGATCAATAAAATAAATGCAGTTACTCAATTTCACATCCAATTGCCAAAGTTAATTGTGACCATCTTGTATCAAAAGTAAATAATCTCATTATATATTTTTTTTTAAAAATATATGAACCGTTCCAACCGCCTTATTCATATAGAAGCCCAATTTTCCGGGCTATAGGTTTGCATAATTTCAAACATAGGTCCACATAATTCTTTGAGATTCTAAACAGGTTATCAAACACAATTATTAACATTTGGAGAGTGTTAATCTTTCGGTTCCCGAAAAAGAAGAACTTTTAGTTTTTAAGGAACATTTACTTTCAATTCAGGCTTCCACAAACCTATGTCCAAACCCTAAAACTAATTCACCACTTTCTCTCTCTAACCTACCATTCCATTTGAGCCCTTTGCTTTCTCTCTCTAACCTATCCTAATGGATCCACAGTCCTTGAAGCTCCCACCAGCAAGTTCCATTAGGCCTTTTCCATATTTTGAATATGGTAGAGTTTGTTAAGGTGAATATTAAGTGTTAAGATCTTCAGTCTATATTTGAATAAGTGGAAGTCGTTAAGTGGATAAGATAATTAGCTTTGTACTTTCTGTTAGGGTCCCTGATTAGCAAGGAAAGATGAAAATGAGAGGTGTAAAGATAATGGAGCTTTTATCAAGGAAAATTATGAATATCTCTAAAATTAACTTTATAGACATTTTACCCTGATATTTTTGGTATCACACTTGCAGTCACATTACTGTTTTTTTTTGTTTTTACCTGTAAATATTTTAAAAACTAAAGTATCATTTCCCTGCCGTACTCCCTACCCATTAAATCTCTCGACCCGGCCCCTCTTTCTCTCTCTACCTACTCTCTCGCTCTACGCGCCCCCTCTTTCTCTCTCTGCCTACTCTCCCTCTCTCAACACGCCCTATCTCTCTGTAGATCATTGCCTCCCCCTAGTTTCTGATATAAAATTTGTCAATTCTAAGCATCTGAGGTGTGGACGATGAATTATTGGTCCATGTAAATGTCATGCCAATTATACTGAGATCTATCAATGCATTAGTGATAATGAAGTTATTAAAGCATTTCATTGTAGGAAGAATTCGATTTGTTGTGTTAGACTCATCTGGTCTTCTAACTTGGTTTTAATTTACTTCCCCACACCAAGGTAACAAAGACATTAGATGAGGAAAAAGTTTGTATAAGGTTCAACTTTAAAATGTAGAACAATAGATGCACTTAAAAAACCCATCGAAAAAGGTTGTTTTAATGTTGAGAAATTCTTTAATTGAGCATCTTGACATCGAGATATATGGTTATGAAAGGAAAAAGGATTTTGAGACTAAAAAATAATGCATCTTACAACACATTATTTAGATCATCCATTTTTAAAATTTTCATATATTCATAGATCCATTTGATTTTAACCATATTTGGAATTTAAAATTTTATAATTAGATATGAAAATAGATTTTGAGAGAATCTTAATAATATATTACATCAAAATTATATGTTATGATCAAATTTGAAAGTCCACCTTAATTGGATTGTTTAAAGTTGCAACCTCATAGAAACCACACCCTTTAGATAATACTAGACAATTCAATTAAAAGGTCCTCTTTATCATTATGATGGTTAGGACCACATAGATTATTTATTTTAAATTAAATAAATACGTCTCTAGATCTCGTAAGAAAGAGATTGTTAGGACCATATAGGTTTCATATTTCTTAAAACATCTCATTTCCTCACTAGTTTATTTATTGGAAAATGGTTTGACAGGGCTCCTCACCACAACTCATAGAAAATTGTAGTTCAAGCATCGGTAAACTTTTATATTGATCATCTTGGCTTGATCTTTATCATTATTATCATAACCCTTTCTTAATTAATTGGGGTCGGTTTGAACTTATGGTTGTGAAAAAAAAAGGATTTTAAGCTGTAAAAATAATACAGATATTATAATAAATTATCTGGATTGTCCATTTCGCCTTAAAAATAAGTGTTCATAGATATGTATGATCTTACATTTTTTGAGTTTCAATTTTTATTATCATTGTTGGAAATTCATTTTAATGCCATCATAGATATTTCTGTTGCCGAGAGTGCTTTATGGACGAGGATATGAGGTGAGGCTTTCTTGGAAGAGCTAGGTTTTTAGTGATAAAATTGTTTAGAAAAAGAATGAGATATTTTAAGAGGGGTGCTGTTTGTATAGAGCCGAGGCTCTAAACAATCAAAGTAGAGCGCACCTTCAAATAGTGTCGAGAAATGTAAATTCAATCTAGAAATCTTTGTGATAGCCTTAAAATATATTTTCATCACTAATTAAAAAATTTAAAGCCTAAAAAATAATGATCTATAAAAACTTGAAAATCTTGAAAAATGACCGTCCAAAAATGCATTACAAAATACACTGTTTCAAAACTTGAAATCCATTTTTTTCTCATGTCCATGCATCTTGAGGTCGAGATGATCAATTTGAAGATATTTGGGCATCAAAACAACCTCTCCCAGTAAAATTTTCGAGGTGCATTCCAATTTGATTGTTTAAAGCCTCACATTTATATAAACTTTTCCTTTTAAGAGATGGTGTGTATTTGTAATATGCACACGTGCACATTGATGCGTGCATGCGTGTGAGAATCGAGAACATGAAAGAGAGATGTAGGACCAAGAGCCATTTAGAGAGAGAGAAAGAGAAAGAGATTGTTTCTAGATGCAAGGAGAGAGAGAGGGAGAGAGAAAGATTGCTTTCATATGTAGAGAGAGAAGAGAGAGATAAGAGAGAGGAGAGAGAGATTGATTTCATATGTAGAGAGAGAAGAGAGAGATAGAGAGAGAGGGGAGAGAGATTGCTTTCATATGTAGAGAGAGAGAGATTGCTTTCATATGTAGAGAGAGAGAGAGAGCGATTGCTTTCATATGTAGAGAGAGAGAGGAGAGTGAGAGAGATTGCTTGTAGATGTAAAGATGTAACAGCCAAACCTCCTTATTTTCTAAGTTTGGAGGGTAGAAGGTGACAGGGTTGGGTAGAGGCCTTGACGTCTCTTGGACTCAACTCGACACCCTAACTCGCATTAGGTGACAACCCTCTCACTCTTTGAGTTTCATATATAGGGACTCCTTTCATCACGCCACTACATCACCTTACTCAAAATGCACGCCCAAGAAGGAGATGTAAGTTTTTATTTATTTATTTATTTTTATTTATAGGCTTCCTTTTATTTGTGATTTTGTTCACTCATGCCATGAATTTAGTTGTTTTAGTTGATGACATGGGAGTAGGTGCCCCTTTGTTTGAGTATAATTTGTATTATCTCAAAATAATACAATGTAATTTGTATTATCTCATTACATTCAACGTTTTTTTCTTTTTTGTATTATCTCAAAGCTTAAGAGTATATAATGTAATTTCAGGCTTAAGAGTATATAATGTAATTTCAGGTAAAAAAAGGATAAAAGAAAAGAATAAAAAATAGGTGTCGTTTGTATGAGGCTGTAATTTTAAACAATCAAATTAAGTTGTATATCCAAACTTTTTTATGAGGTGTAATTTTGGTATCGAAAATTCTTAAATGGTGTGATAATATATTTTTATCACTAATTATAAAATCTTAAACTCCAAAAATAGTTAAAATCAAGTATATCTATAAAAGTATAAACATCTTGAAATTGGACGGTCCAGATAATGTGTTGCGGGATGCATGATTTTTAGGGTTTGAAATATTTTTTTTTCTCCATATCTATACATCTCGATGTCAAAATGATCAATTATATGTTTTTCCTACATCAAAACAGCAATTTTACAATTTTAAGGTGTCAACTTTGAACAAACTTTTTTCATAAAAAATTTTCCCTAACTTTTCAAAAAGAAGAACATGTATGACATTATATGTAATTACTAATGCGTGTCTCCCTGAATAGGCTCATGTATTTTTATTTATATCATAATACTAATACCTTCAAACTTGGTAGTCCGATGTTTATTTATTTATGATTTTTGGGTTTACTTTAGATTTATCGAATCAGTATATAAAATAAATAAAATTAGATGTTGGGTTTTTAAATACTTAGATCTAATCATCCAAAAATTGGACAAAAATTAGATGTTGATTTGCACTTGTGTTGCTTGTTGTATACAACAGTCCCCGGTGGGTTTCCAACGGTCTAGATCAAAGCTATGCTGCGTATGTGGGGATGAGATTGGCCGGAGAGAGGATGGGGAGTTATTTGTGGCGTGCAATGTTTGTGGTTTCCCGGTGTGTCGGCCGTGCTACGAGTATGAGAGGAAGGAGGGCACTCAGTGTTGCCCTCAGTGTAACACTCGCTACCGCCGCTACAAAGGTGCCATGCTCATTCGTTAGCTCATTTTGCATTATAATTTCAAGGGTATTTTGATCAATAATAAATATTTGGCAAACTTTTTAATGATGGCAATACACAAAATTAATTTCCACATTGTTTAAAGGGATTATTTCTCTTAAAAATATTTCATGAAGTATCAGTCAGTGGCAATAGTTAAAAATATTAGGGGTGGTTTTCCGTGAGACTGATGATTCACTATTTTGATAAAGTTAATTGTAATAACTAACTTATCTACTAGTATCAATGTCTAAGTCATATGAAATAAACTTATAGATAATTTAACATTGAAAAACTATTTTATTTTATTCAAAATAATTTGCTGAAAATCACAAAAAAGACTAGCAACGGTGCATCTCCACTCAGTAAACAATGCATCTTCGCATCTCACCGCTCACCCTGAATCCCATAACTCATCCTCCACTTAAGTTGCTGAAAATCACAAGGTTTTAACCAGAAATAGGTAAAAATAGTTGGAAATCACAAAAAAAGTTAAATGTTTAAATAATACTTTGCATTATAGAAGTTATGTATCAAACAACTAATAAAATAACATTATCCGAAGTATTCTACTTTTAGATTAAGCTAATCTATTCCAAATAAAATTAATTGTTTGGACCTAAAAATTTCATATCACATGATTGGAATTTAATAGGCTGCCCAAGGGTAGCTGGAGATGAAGAAGATGATGATGATGACAATGATTTTGAAGAGAAGTTAGATGTCAAGAGCCATAGAGATCTTGGAGTCCACCGCTCTGCCATTGTTCCCTCGGTAATAGTAACTCTAACTCCATCACTTGATATGAGAGAGAGAGTGTGTGCGTAATTCGGAGGCGTTGCTTGCTGCAGGAAAATGGAGATCCGAACCCGCTATGGCAGCCCGGGGGTCCTGCTTATTCTTCATTCACCGGAAGTGGTAAATGTTTTCCCTTTATACATAATTCTGAAGTTCTCTCTCTGGTTCTGTCTCTAAATTGGCATAGGAAATGCATGGGAGAATTAGAGAATTAAAGTGGGGATGTTTTTGGTGGATGACAACAGTTGCAGGGAAGGAAATGGAGGGTGAGAAAGAGGTTTATAGCAGTGCAGAGTGGAAAGAGAGGGTGGAGAAATGGAAGGAGAGGCAAGAAAAGAAAGGCCTCGCCCCTAAGCAAGATGCACCTGCACAAGATGAACCAGATGACATGTTGTGAGTACTTCTGTCCATCGATTCAATATACTTACTCTCGAACAAAAAACCAAAAAAAAAGAAAATTTAAAGGAAAAATATGGCATAATGTTATTTATTTTTGATAAAAAAAATCATAATCGAATTTAGCTGTTAGGTTATGAAATTGGGCGGTTATAGGGTCCCATTAATCAGATTCAAAGCCAAAAAAAAAAAAAAAAAATTCAACTTAGAGTAAAATCCAGACATTTATTTTTTCTTTTTTTTCTGCTATTTTTTTTCTTTCCAATTAATCCAATAGAAAAAGTCCTTGTAGAATAAAAAACGCATATATAGTAAAAGAAAGCAAAAAAGAAATATTAGAGAAAAGAGACAGCATAATGAGTATTTTTTTATTTTTTATTTCTAATAAATCAGTGGAAAATACAGGCCGCTACCTATTTTAAAGAAATTGTTTATGGTTTTCAAATGTCTTAGTAAGAATGAAAATCTAGACTGATAGCTCCGATGATGCTACCACCACGATCTCAACACATTCCCATAATAAGTAAATTACTTGAACTTGTTATCCATTAGATTCCATACAATGGGTGAATATTCCTTAAACTAAGGTTGGTTAGACATTTACACCATGGTGTGCCATGTACCAGCGTATGGTATCCCATCCCTTTCACGCTTGTTGGGATAAATCTCTTGCTTTTGCTTTACCAAAGTTTACATAGTGAGAGCATTTGCTTTTGGTACAAAAATTTACAACACCCTAAGCCATCGAATTGAGATTGAACAGTTGGGATCACATTCTTTCATGCAGAATATGAGACAATATGTTGGGTCTTCCAGCACAGTCAACTACACACCTTAGTCATCAAATTTAAAATCTGATTGCTCTTAAGTTTTTTACTGTGTTGTACCAGATTTCCAGAAAATAAGATCCAAAAAATATTGTATAAACCAGTGTAGGAAAAATTGGGCGGATCCAATTCTAACCGCTCCGTTGGCCGGTTTTGGTTTCGGCTGGTTTTGGTGAACTGACTAAGTATTTAAAAAACTATTAAAAATATATATATAAAATCCCAAAAAATAAGGAATTTTGTTTGTAATGCATTTTGTGATGTTTTTCATCATTTTGGCAAAGATCGAAAATTGTTTTGGCCATTAATATTTACTTTTACATTTTCCCATTTTTTTTAAAATTTTAAAATTACTCTTGGGCACAAATTGATTATTTAAAATCTAATTTTTTATTATTAATTTTCAACTTCATTTCGATGTGCTTTGTTTAATCATGCTTTAAATATATTTTTCATATTTTATTAGATTTTGTTTTTTGTATCTTTTTTAATTTTTTAATACTTTTTTGATCGCTCGAGACTTGCCCGATAGGCCGGTTGAACTGACCGGTTCACCGGTTAGGCCTATTGAACTGCTTTTGACACATGTCCGATTAACCGTTCCGGTTGGATTTTTCCTCCAATAGTTTAAACTTGGTGTCAAATACGAAATCGGATTGCTCAACGTGGCTAAGAATGTGTTCAAGGACAATTTTTAAACTTTGGGCATTATCAATAGCATATCCCCAACTGCTTGATTTTAAATTTAACAATTAATTATAACTTTCTTGTACCAAGGTAAACGGTCTTATATAATTTTCCTTAATTAAATACCCTTATGCCCTCTTTTTTAATGCGACATTCGTCTATAGAGCTGGGAATGGGTCAGGTCAGGTCCAGGTTGATCTGAACCTAGACCTGACCTGACCAGGTTTAAGCTATACCTAGATCAGACCCAGATGTGGGTTAGGTCCAGCTCAAGACCGACCCATCTAGTCTCCCACGGTTTTGGAGAATGGCTGCTAAACTTCTCATCCTTTATGCAACAGGATGGCTGAAGCCAGGCAACCACTATGGCGAAAGGTTCCAATCCCATCGAGCAAAATCAACCCCTATCGCATCGTCATCATCCTAAGGCTCGTGGTCCTTGGCTTCTTTTTCCGATTTCGCATAACCAACCCTGCATCCGATGCATTCGGACTATGGCTCACCTCAGTCATATGTGAAATTTGGTTTGCTTTCTCTTGGATCCTAGACCAATTTCCAAAGTGGTTTCCTATCACTAGAGAGACATATCTTGATCGCCTTTCAGCACGGTTTGAGCCCGAAGGCGAGCCTGATCGACTCTCTCCAGTCGATGTCTTTGTCAGCACAGTTGATCCATTGAAAGAACCTCCAATTATCACTGCAAATACTGTGCTATCGATACTATCGGTGGATTATCCTGTGGAGAAAGTGAGTTGCTATGTCTCGGATGATGGTGCGTCAATGCTCTTGTTCGATACTCTTTCGGAGACCGCAGAATTCGCAAGGAGATGGGTTCCTTTTTGCAAGAAGTATAGCATCGAGCCCAGGACTCCAGAGTTCTATTTCTCACAAAAGATCGATTATTTGAAGGATAAGGTGCAGCCCAGTTTTGTTAAGGAGCGTAGGGCCATGAAGGTAAACCATACTGCTGGTTTTTTCCTTAATTCCTTCACTTCTCCTTTTCTAACTTATGATAGATTGTGGAAAGAGCAAAGTAGAATTTATTGAGATTTCAAGTTCATCATTAAGATCGTCATCGACATCATCATCTGAGTTTTTTTTCCCAACTATTTGGTTTTAGCTACACGAATCTTGGTCCGCCATTATGCTCTATTAAGGGCCATACTTTTAGGAGTCTCGTATATTTTCTTACTACTTCCAAGAATGTCTAAGTTCATCATTAAGATCTAAATTAAATGTTTTGAATGTTGAAGCTTTGGTAAGTTTTGAATCACTAAACTCCAATTATGTACAAAAGTAGTGAAATTTATATATATATATATATATATATATATATCTACCCATATTTTCAGATTTTTCTAGAAATTTATTGAGAGAAAAAAAGTGCATGAAATCTAGACTTGTGCTTATATGAGTTTTTTTTTTTTTAAAAAAAATGTAATATCATTATATTGTATAACGCTTGATTACTTAAGATTTGCAGATTTGCCCTCCTTTCAAGAATTTTCATTTGAAAAACAATTACCTTAGAGGCAAGGAAAAACAAAGATTTGGACATCCCAAAGAAATTGCTCTTCCAGAAAATCATAAAACTTCATTAGAACAACTCTAAAGAGCCAGAAATCAAAGAGTTAATATGAATATTGACAGTAATGTATACTCTTTATAAATAATATTCCTTTTGTTTGCAGTAGTTGTGTATTCATATTGTCATTATTTGACATAAGGAAATATGAACTGTTTTTGTTGCAGAGGGAATATGAAGAGTTTAAAGTGAGGATAAATGCTTTGGTAGCCAAGGCTCAGAAGGCCCCAGAAGAAGGATGGGTAATGCAAGATGGTACTCCATGGCCCGGAAATAACACAAGAGATCATCCTGGCATGATTCAGGTTCCAATTTTCTCTTCTCTATGAAAATATTTGGGTAAACTGCTCTAGTAGTCTGCCCTCCCCTTTTGGGGGCCTTAAGGATATTTGTATCACTCCAAATTTGGCACATACATTTTCATCAATCTCGTGAAGAAATCCGCATAACAATATTTTGAAAAAAAAAAAAAAACTCAAAAATAAATTTTTAACTTGATGAATGTGGGTAGCTACATCTAGCACTTTAAAATCCCCAAATCAATTTTCTTTTGAGAATAATCATCAAGTGATTCTTCTTAAGTAGTTCCCAAAATTTCAGATTGAAATTATCCTCTCAAATAGGTTTTCTTACTAAGGGAGTGGATGTACACTATGCTCCCGAGGGAGCATAGCATAATATCTAAGCTATTATGTTCCTCCTATGGATCCACTATTGTAATAAATGCAACATTACTGTTGGAATATTTCGGGATTTAATCTCACATTTACAACAAATTTATAACAAAGTTTTTTAATTCAACCGTAAGTATATCATTTTGGTGAAATGTCTGTAAGTACCTTGTACTGCTTGAAAAATAATTATGCCCCTACATTGGGTACTTTTGTTTGTTGACCACACTACGTTGGTAGATTGTAATATGAACCTTTTTTGCAGGTGTATCTTGGTGCTGAGGGTGCACACGACGTTGAAGGCAAAGAACTCCCAAAACTTGTGTATGTTTCTCGTGAGAAACGTCCTGGTTATCAGCACCACAAGAAAGCCGGAGCCATGAATGCATTGGTTTGATTTTTCTCCCTTACTTTTTTCCATAATAAGAAGAATTTTTATAATTCAATTTTCAAAGGCATTCAAATAATGGTGCCGTTTGTTAGAGCCAAGGCTCTAAACGATCAAAATAAAACACATCTTCAAATAGTATAGCGAAATGTGGTTTCAATTATGGAAATCTTTGTGACAGCCTTAAAATATATTTTCATCTTTAATTATAAAATTTAAAGTTTAAAAAATAGTGTAGATCCAGTAGATCTATGAAAACTTGAAAATCTTAAAAATTAATGGTCTAAAAATGCATTACAAGAAGTTTATATAGAGCCCAGACTCTAAACAATCAAATTAGAGCCTACCTCAAAAATTTAACTAGAAGAGGTTGTTTTGATGCCCAAATATCCTCTAATTGATCATCTCGACATCAAAATGCATGGACTTGAGAAAAAAATAGATTTCAAGTTTTGGAAATAGTGTATCTTGTAATGTATTTTTAGACTGTCAATTTTTAAGTTATTCAAGTTTTCATAGATCTGCTCGATCTACACTATTTGTTAAGCTTTAAATTTTACAATTAACGATTAAAATATATTTTAAGGCTAGACAAAGATTTACAGTATTGAAACCACATTTCTTGACACTATTTAAAAGTGGGCTCTAATTTGATTGTTTAGAGCATTGATTCTATACAAACCACACCCTTAAGTAATAGGGTATGTTACAAATATAAAGACAGAGATGCATATGTCCGTGAGCATTGGGACCCCAATAACCAATTTTTATTTTGTATCAAAAGTTTCTAACATGTTGTTTGGTTGACTTGTTTCAGGTTCGAGTCTCTGCAGTCCTAACAAATGCTCCTTTCATGTTAAACTTGGATTGTGATCACTACATTAACAATAGCAAGGCCGTTAGAGAGGCTATGTGTTTCTTAATGGACCCTCAGTTGGGAAAGAAGCTTTGCTATGTTCAATTTCCACAACGTTTCGATGGCATTGACCTACACGATCGATATGCGAACCGAAATATCGTCTTCTTCGATGTATGTTTCTTTAACTCTGTCCTAACTGCTGGATTTATTCTTGTAACAAGTATATTACAAAATGAGAATCTTAATTGCATGAGTAACTATGAAGCCCAAATTACCAAATCCCAAGTTCAATTGTATCTTTTCTTTGAGCCATTCATGGAGGTCATCAGCAACTACTTATCAGTGTACCCTTCTTTGCATTCCTCCTTTTTAGCTAATTTAGCCGTTTCTTTTGCAGATCAACATGAAAGGCTTAGATGGAATTCAAGGTCCAGTGTATGTGGGAACCGGTTGTGTGTTCAATAGGCAAGCACTATATGGTTATGATCCCCCAGTAATGCGCAAGCGTCCAAAGATGACCTGTGACTGTTTGCCATCATGGTGTTGTTGCTCTGGTGGAAGGAAGGCCAAGAAAGGGAAGAAGAAGGGCTCATTTGAGCCATTGTATGATACAACGGCTACAAACAAGAAGCTCTCGAGACGGGGGGGAAAGGGAGGTCCTGTTTTCGATCTTGAGGAGATTGAAGAAGGTCTTGAAGGGTACGAAGAGCTAGAGAAGTCATGGCTCATGTCTCAAAAGAACTTCGAGAAGAGGTTCGGGCAATCGCCGGTGTTCATCACTTCAACTCTAATGGAAGATGGGGGCTTGCCTGAGGGGACAAACCCTTCAGCTCTAGTTAAGGAGGCCATCCATGTCATTAGTTGTGGCTATGAAGAGAAGACAGAGTGGGGAAAAGAGGTGTGCCTTTTCCTTCTCTTTTCTGTCTTTCCTTTGCTATGATATTGTTTCTTTTGCTAACTTGAAGAGTCTATGATGTAGCTTTTGTGTAAGTGGCTTGAATTTTTTGGACAAAGTTTCCAAAACATAGGCACCATATACAAAATTTGAATCTGAGTTTTATGTTTGTGGTTTGAAATTTCAATGAAGACCAGAGTTTCACTGATATAGGCAACATATACAAAAATTAAATCCAATTTTGATGTTAGCAGTTCAAAATTTAACGACTATGTTCAAATTTCATCCAAATTGCTAAAATGTATGTCTATACATGTTACAGATAGGGTGGATATACGGTTCGGTCACAGAAGATATATTGACAGGATTCAAGATGCACTGTCGAGGATGGAAGTCGGTTTACTGCATGCCTTCAAGGCCCGCATTCAAGGGATCTGCACCCATAAACCTTTCTGATCGTTTGCACCAAGTTTTGCGTTGGGCATTAGGCTCAGTTGAGATCTTCCTTAGTAGACATTGTCCTCTTTGGTATGGATATGGAGGCAACCTCAAATGGCTTGAGAGGTTCGCGTACACCAACACCATTGTCTACCCTTTCACTTCGATCCCTTTACTCGCGTACTGCACCATTCCTGCTGTTTGTCTCCTTACAGGAAAATTCATCATCCCTACTGTGAGTATCATGCCCCTAAAACACTCTGGTTTTTTATCGACCTTTTTGACATGTTAATGGTGGGAATGGAAGGTGCAACATTATATTGAGGCGTCAGACCCCCTAACCACAGATGCCCCAAACCCATCACTTACAAAGAATGCTAAAGCATATACTATAAGACCATTTATATTTGTTACAAGGAGGCCACCATTGCTCCACCATTAGATATCAAATTGGATGGCTTGGGTATGTCATGAAGTTTGAGAAATTTGTTTTGAACATTGAATTTAGCTGATGACACATTCATAACTACCCTGCCCTATTTAAAATTTAATGGACAAGAGTAATTGTGACCTCCTTGTATTAAAAGTAAATTCTCTCTTTATATGCTTCTCCTTTATAAAAGTATTGGACTTGGGTCACACTAGTGCAATTTTTAGCATTGTCATCCTGATCTCGCACTCTGCCGGATCCAAGTTTCTTGGATGAGCCCGAGCCCATGTCAACAATTCTTTAAACACTGATGTGTCCTAAATTCACTTCAAGTAACATATCTAGATGAAATTGGGGAATAAATAGGAGTGCAAATTTTAAATTTATACTTTTACGAGTACTTTTCCCTCCAATTTCTTTAAAACATGGGGTCTTGATCTCCTCTATCTCAGCTCACAAACCTAGCAAGCATCTGGTTCATGGCCCTCTTCCTCTCCATCATCGCGACCGGAGTTCTTGAGCTTCGATGGAGCGGCGTAAGCATCCAAGACTGGTGGCGAAACGAGCAATTCTGGGTGATCGGTGGCGTCTCCGCCCACCTCTTTGCCGTCTTCCAAGGCCTCCTCAAAGTCTTAGCAGGTGTGGACACCAACTTCACTGTGACCTCAAAAGCAGCTGAGGATTCAGACTTTGGAGAACTCTATCTCTTCAAATGGACGACTCTGCTCATTCCTCCCACCACATTGCTCATTATAAACATGGTGGGTGTGGTGGCTGGTGTCTCTGATGCCATTAACAATGGTTATGGCTCTTGGGGTCCCCTATTTGGAAAGCTATTCTTTGCTTTTTGGGTCATTGTCCATCTCTACCCATTCCTTAAGGGCTTGATGGGGAAACAAAATAGGACACCAACCATAGTTGTTTTGTGGTCTGTTCTCTTGGCCTCCATCTTTTCACTTGTGTGGGTTCGTATTGACCCCTTCTTGCCTAAGCAAACTGGGCCACTGCTCCAACAGTGTGGGGTCGAGTGCTAGTCTCTCTCTCTCTAGCCCCAGTTTCTAGTTATGGGTCCAAGTTTTAAGCTCTCCTTTTTTGTCTTTCTTTCTATCTCAATTTCTAGATATGGGATCTAAGCGTAAAGCTCTCTCTGCCTCTCTTCGCCCTAGGTTAACCGGTGCTTCTTGCTTTCAAGTTGAAGTTTGCTGGGTGCACTAGCTGCGAAGAAAACGTAGTGCGCTAGTGCACACGTCTCTCTCTCTCTACCCAGTTTCTAGATATGGGTCTAAGTTTTAAAGTCTTCTTTTTTGCCCTCTCTATCCCTATATGCCCAGTTTCTAGATTTGGGGTCCAGTTTGAAGCTCTCCCTTTTGGCCTAAGCAATGTATCCAAAGAGTTTGAACCCCTTCTCACTCTATGTATATGTTTTGATTGTACAAAAGTGATGTTTTGGTTGTTAATGTGACACTTCACCGGATTTGGATATAAAGTGTGAGGATTCTTGCTTTATGGGTGTGAGTTGTGTTGATTTTTTGGACTTGATAATGAGTCAAATTTCAGAAATGGCAACTCTTAATGAAGTTTGTCTCATAAATTTTTAAGATAGAAATTGTTTCTTGAAAATAAATTACCTTTTAGGTGTGCTCACTGCATTGATGGTATGAGTACGCATTATCATCTTAGAGAGAGAGAGAAAGAGAGAGAGAGTTGAATGGAGAACTACAAAGAATGGAGAAAGTAATGAAGAAACATTTGAAAAAATATATATATTTACACAGAAGGCTTCAACGACGGCTATGACAAGCTTTTTATATTTTTGTTACCTGCACGTATACTATGCTTCCCCTGAAACCTACATAGTTTACTTCTACATCCTTAGTCAGAAGACCTAATTGGGAGAATTTTATCAATCTCGAAACATTATTTTTTCGAAATGCATAGAGAATGCAATTAGAAAATTCTTTTATTGAGATTAATCTATAAGTTGAAGAGGTATCACGATAAATTCGCTGCCATGAATAAGCATGGGCATTTCAATACTTTTACCCCACTTAAGTAGCCCTGGCCAGATGATGATGTAAATACCAATGCTTGTTTGGGATTCTAAATCTACAACATATTTTCATATTCAAATCTCGTGTTTAGGTTTCTTAAAATGAAACAATGGTATTTATATCATTTGACTCAAGCTCAAGCCAAGGTGACGTGAGCCAAATGACTAATGTACCTTCAATTTTTCAAGTTTAGGGATTTATTGCTCATGTCTTTCATTGGATATGCTTGTTTCGCGTTCCTAACCCTAAAAAAGGACATATACTTTGCTCATAATGCTAAAAGTGGGACGAAAAAATTGATGGTTATACCCTTGATTGTTTAGAGTTAGAAACAAGAATCTCACTTTTTCCATTACAAATTCTTGTGTGTAGTCCCTAATTTTGAACATGCAAGGTGGTCTCATCATTTTTGCCTTAATTAAGTACCCGGAGCAAAATAATGGTTCTACCCCAACTTTTGAACTTGGATCTTTTTTTCATTCAAAATCTTGTTCTAAGATATTAGTCCTGAACAAGCGGAGTGTTCACATCATTTGGCTCATTTCGTACCAAAATACCTGTTTGTTCAAGATCCTTAACCCTAAATAGGGCCAAGGGTATTTTTAAATAATTTGAGGCGAAATCTAAGTGGATTGAATCTTATAAGTAATCATTTTGATCTTTAAATTGAACGATTTGATCACCTAATGATGTTTTATAATAGTTTGGCGATTTTGGTGATATTTTCTTGAGAACGTTTGGTTCGCCTAAGCTACTACATAAGGACGAGGAGAAGAAACAACAGATCAAAAGGATTTTGAATTTTAGAATACATTACAGTTCATAGTTTAACTGAACTCAAAGTTTGATTACATTATTGGGAAGATCTGCCATAAGCACTTGAAGAATCTCAAAGAACGGCAGGAATTGGGCTTGAGTCAAAACTGTAGAGGCTGGTTTTCATAGCACAACATCTCAAGTTCCATTTTTATATAATTTTTTTTAAAAAAATAAAAAATTCACGAAGAATGGTGTGATAAGCAATTTGTTAGAAATAATAAGTTTGTGATGCCCATTTTCTATTGAATATAATGAATAAAATTCAATAAATTTAAGGGGCATAAATCCATGAAAAACAATCCATAATGACCACTAATATTAATATCAATATTTGCTAGCATCCTTTGTAAGTTTATCAAGGAAATTTATATTTTTAAATAGTTATTTATTATTACTGCAATAATTATTATTCAGAAAAAAGGAAAATTTATTAAAATACACCTATCTTCTCTTCAACTTTTTACTATTTTCAACATATTGCAACTCATGATCGTGTATTTTGAGATTAATTTAAAAGATATGGGTGAACTGTTGGACACTTCAAGTCTTACGTCTATCTTGATAAATTTATCTGAAAAAAATAATATGATCCACATGTTACTAGTAAGCATAGGTAGCATTTCATGTATTACCTTCCAACCAGTGGGTTGAACCAGTGTTTTAAAACCCAGATCTGCCTAATGGACTAGCCATTCAGAAATCTAGTCTACATTTACAAATTTGATTGATTCTACAGTGTGAGAATCAATCCAAACGATAAAAAATAAAAATTAATTGGAAAAATAAAATATGTGGAAATGGGTGATTTAGCTGCTCTGGATTGTCCGTCTCCCTATCAATATCTCTTGGTTCCCTGACAGAACTAGATGATTCTAAGGGAACGAAACCAATTCCCAATTCCAAGAGGAGACTAGGGCAGTCTACACCATTTCTCGATACAGATCGTGGATTCCCAATCTGGATCCTAATATGAACGCTTATTTAGGGATGGTAGAGTTGTCCAGTTTAACTACTAATCGTGTATTTTTAGATTAATTTAAAAGATATGGGTGAAATGCTGGACACTTCAAGTCTTAAGTCTATCTTGATAAATTTCACTACGAAAAATAATATGATCCACATGTTACTGTTTAGCACAAGTAGTTTTTCATGTACTACCTTCCAAATGGGTTGAACCAATGTTTTAAAACCAAGATCTGCCCAATGGACTAGCCATTCAGAAATCTGGTCTACATTTTCAAATCTGACCTATTCCAGAGTGTAAGAATCAATCCAAAAGATAAAAGATAAAAAATAAAAAATTATTGAAAAAATGAAATACGTGAAAATGGGTGATTTAGCTGGTTCGGATCACCCGCCTCCCTAACAATATCTCTCGGTTCCCTGACAGAACTAGGCGATTCTAAGGGAACCTAACCAATTCCCAATTCCGAGAGGATACTAGGGCAGTTTACATCATTTCTCGATACAGATCGTGGATTCCCAATCCGGATCGCTAATGTGAATGCTTATTTAGGGAGGGTAGAGTTGTCACGTTCAACTGCTGGACACTTCAAGTCTTAAGTCTATCTTGATAAATTTCTCCGAGAAAAATAATATGATCCACATGTTACTGATAAGCACAGGTAGCATTTCATGTACTACCTTCCAACCAATGGGTTGAACCAGTGTTTTAACACCCAAATCTGCCTAATGGAGTAGCCATTCAAAAATGTAGTCAACATCTGCAAATATGACCGATTATATAGTGTGAGAATCAATCCAAAAGAAAATAAAAATAAAAATAATTGAAGAAATGAAATATGTGGAAATGGGTGATGTAGCTGTTCCGGATTGCTCGCCTCCCTAACAATATCTATTAGTTCCTTGATAGAACTAGATGATTCTAAGGGAACCAAACCAATTCCTAATTTCGAGGGAGACTTGGTCACTCTATACCATTTCTAGATACAGATCGTGGATTCCCATTCCTGATTGCTAATATGAACGCTTATTTAGGGAGGGTAGGGTTGTCCAGTTCAACCACTAATCGGGTATTTTAAGATTAATTTAAAAGATATGGATGAACTGCGGGACACTTCAAATCTTAAGTCTATCTTGATAAATTTCTCTCAGAAAAATAATATGATCCACATGTTACTGGTAAGCACATATAGCATTTCATGTACTACCTTCCAACCAATAGGTTAAACTAATGTTTTAAAACCCAAATCTGCCTAATGGAATAGCCATTCAGAAATCTGGTCTACATTTTCAAATCTGACCCATTCTACATTGTAAGAATCAATCCAAAAGATAAAAAATAAAAATTAATTCGAAAAATGAAATACATCGAAATGGGTGATTTAGCTGCTTTGGATCACTTGCCTCCCTAACATTATCTCTCGATTCCCTAACAGAAGTAGGCGATTCTAAGGGAACCAAACTAATTCCCAATTCTGAGGGGAGACTAGGTTAGTCTAAACCATTTCTCAGATCGTGGATTCCCAATCTGGATCGTTAATATGAACGCTTATTTAGGGAGGGTAGGGTTGTCCAGTTCAACTACTAATCGGATATTTTGAAATTAATTTAAAAGATATGGGTGAATTGCTGGACACTTCAAGTCTTAAGTCTATTTCGATAAGTTTCTCTCAGAAAAATAATATGATCCACATGTTACTGGTAAGCACAGGTAGCATTTCATGTACTACCTTCCAACAAATGGGTTGAACTAGTGTTTTAAAACCAAAATCTGCCCAATGGACTAGCCATTCAGAAATCTGGTCTACATTTTCAAATCTGAACCATTCTACAATGTAAGATTCAATCCAAAAGATAAAAGATAAAAAAATAAAAATTAATTGGAAAAATGAAATACATGGAAATGGGTGATTTAGCTGCTTCGGATCACCAGCCTCCCTAACAATATCTCTTGATTCTCTGACAGAATTAGGCGATTCTAAGGGAACCAAACCAATTCCCAATTCCGAGAGGAGACTAGGGCAGTTTACATCATTTCTCGATACAGATTGTGGATTCCCAATCCGGATCGCTAATATAAACGCTTATTTAGGGAGGGTAGAGTTGTCATGTTCAACTGCTGGACACTTCAAGTCTTAAGTCTATCTTGATAAATTTATCGGAAAAAAATAATATGATCCACATGTTACTGATAAGCAAAGGTAGCATTTCATGTACTACCTTCCAACCAATGGGTTGAACCTATGTTTTAACACCCAGATCTGCCTAATAGAGTAGCTATTCAGAAATCTAGTCTACATTTGCAAATCTGACCTATTATATAGTGTGAGAATCAATCCAAAATAATAAAAAATAAAAAAATAATCCAAAAAACGAAATATGTGGAAATGGGTGATTTAGTTGCTCCGGATCGTCCTCCTCCCTAACAATATCTCTCGGTTCCCTAACAATATCTCTCGGTTCCCTGACAGAACTAGACAATTATAAGGGAAACAAGTCAATTCCCAATTCCGAGGGGAGACTAGGTTAGTCTATACCATTTCTAAATACAGATCGTGGATTCCCATTCCTGATTGCTAGTATGAACGCTTATTTAGGGAGGGTAGGGTTGTCCAGTTCAACTACTAATCGGGTATTTTGAGATTAATTTAAAAGCTATGGGTGAACTGTTGG